CTCACCTGGGATGTACTGTCAGCCCCTCGAGAACCTCATGTTTTCTATCACTCGAGGCAAAACCAGGCGTGGCGCAGCCACTCACAGGGACTCGGCTCTCTCGGCAGACACTGCTTCCTTGTTGCTGATGAGCCCCTATACTGGGACCCAGAGGCAGGAGAGCTGGGTTCCAGACAGACCTCTTCAGGGAGCTGGCAGGGGTATGGAATTGCTTCACTGAAGGAAGAGAAGGGGAGAGCCATTGGTAACCACTGGCTCAGGCCAGGACAGACCTGCTGTTTTCTCACTTTCTCTTTCTGTGTTCCAACAAACACTCCTGATGCCTCCTCTATGGCAGTAAGACAGCAGAGATGAATCAGACCAAGTACCCCAAGCCAGCAGTGGATACAGAAATGCCAACAGAAGATGATTCAGTGTGATAAGGGCCCCTGGAGCCCTGAGAAGGGACCCCTGGCCTTACCTAGACCTTTGGTGGCTGTGGGGATAGAGCAAAGAGAGAGAGAGTGTATATGCCTCAAGAGATGGCAGCTCCAAATATAAGGCAATCACTCGTTTTCGCAATAAGGTCACTCCAGGTGTTGTGGCTTTTTTTGCAACTAAAATATAAACATTTTTAGAGATGCGTGATTCAAATGTCCACATATAACAGTTTATTTAGTTACACATACATATTTTCAATCACATATTATTTGAAACAATATATTAATTTATGAATATTGATTTTTTTCCCCACTCTCACCTTTCCAGAAGTCATGTTCAAACGCTTTACATGAATCTTTGATTTCTCTGTAGTTGTCATCATTAGAGCCGCTTTCTGAGTCACCTAATATATTATTTCTGAAAGCACATTACCTTCACTGCCTCCTAAGTTGTTTGAGAGAGGGCGCTTTGGAAAAATCAACTTTATTGATGGATAGTTTACATATAATAAAATGCACCCGTTTGAAGTATCAAGTTTGGTGAGCTCTGACAAACGTATGCCCTCATATAACCTACACCCATTCAGGATATACAACATTTCCATCACCCCGCAAAGTTTCTTGGTGCCCCTTTGCAATCCATCTTCTCTACCCCTATCCGGCAATCCCTAATCCACTTTCCATCACTACAGGTTAGTTTTGCCTAGTCTAGAATTTCATATACAGTAATACCGTGGTTTGCAAGCATAATTCATTCCGGAAACAGATTACTCATATTGCAAGACATCGCTCGTTTACCCAGTTAAAATGTATTAGAAATGTTTGCTCGTCTTATGGAACTCTCGCAAACCAAGTTACTCGAAACCCAAGGTTTTACTGTAAATGAAATCATGGAGAGTGTACCATTGTGCCTAAGTTCAGTATGTTGTTTTCGAGATTCATCCATGTTGCTGAGGAAAAATACTTTTTAAATCAGTATGTGAGGCTATTACTAGATATTTAGACCTAAGCATGAATACATGTTTTTGTATAACATTACAACAGGTTTCTTTTCAATTCTCCCATATGTATATTAGTATTCAGTGGTTGGGGTGACCCACTGACCCCTTCCATATTGACACAAATCTTTAATGTTATCCATAAATATTTCAGTTTTTCTAAGAGTCTTTAAAAATATATATACATAACTGTAGTATCATTATCAAACCTAAAAAACAACAACACTATTGCTATTTAAAGTGATCGTTAAGAGGCTTGTTTATATGTAATACTTGGGATTGTGAAAAAATTACTAAGTCTGTGGTAAATTTCTTTGCCTCCCTGTTTACCGATTTTGTCAGGGAACTACTTATAGTCATCCAAAACTAGCTTGACTGAGGTCATTTCAGGGTAATATGTTTTCTCCAAAAAGTGCTTTTTGGTTTCAAACAAGTTGAGAGAACATCCCATTATATGAGGGATTTTTTAAGAGCCAAAATATAAGTAAACTTCCTTTTTTCAGAAGAAAACAAAAATTTAAGTTTCCTGTGGGAAAATACCTCTATTCTGGGGTATATATGGTATTTCGGGGGTGATGTGAGTCAGTAATTTACTGGATGTGCAAGTGAGGAGGAGGAGAGGATTATGGCTACCCTAGGTTCCACTTGCGGGACGAGAGTGGATGCTGGTGCCGGCTCACTGAGATGTGAAACTCAGCCCAGTGGGCGTGCAGAACTAGGTTCTAAGCTCAGCTCCAGAGGTTTGAGACTCAGTAGTTCGTGGACATCCCCTGCAGAGATGTAGTTGGCAGTTTATGTCTGCAACTCAAGAAAGGGGTCTAGCCTGGTGATAGAGATATGGGAGTTGTCATGTTCGGGTATGAATGAAATCCGACCGTTCACCATGGCAATTAAGGACCTGGGAGGAGATAATTGAGAAGCAACAGCCTGATATAGGAGTAAAACCAGAAGGTGGCACCGTGGAAGCCTGAGAGAAGTGCTTTAAGAAGGGAGGTGGTTACATACAAGGTGTGATCAAAAGATATGGTGAATGTTTAAATTTTAAAAATGTATTACAGTGAAAGCCACATTGCCATTAATCCCCCTCAAAATACTCCCCCTCACTTCAAACACACTTATTGCATCATTCCTGCCACTTTCTGAAGCAGTTCTGGAAGTCCTCTTTCATGTCTTTACTTCATCCTCCATCATGACAACGCTCCGTGTCACTCATCGCTTCGGTACGGCAGTTTCTGTCAAAGAAAAATATTAGTGTGTCCTCATCCACCGGATCTGGCACTGTGCTACTGCTGGCTCTTCCCCAAAGTCAAAATGATACAGGACATCGAGGCAGCCACAACAGCACAACTAAAGACACTCACGAAAGAGGACTTCCAGCACTGCTTCAGAAAGTGGCAAGAACGGTGGGGTGTGTTCGAAGCGAGGGGGAGTATTTTGAGGGGGATTAATGCCAATAAAACTTTAAACATTCACCATATTTTTTTCACACCTCATACCGTATGATTTCGTTTAAGTGAGAGTCTAGTGAAGGCTGGAGGTGGGGATGGGGATTAACTTGTAAGTTAATGAGGAAATCTTACTGGGCAGATGATGTTCTATTAACTGATTTATGGTGATGGCTGCACCACTCAGTAGTTACTGAAATTTATCATATGCTTGAAATGGGTGGATTTTTAACATGTAAAATAGACTCCCATAGAGCTGTCAGGGAGAGGAGTGGTCACGTACCCAGAGCCAAAAAGAGCTTGAGTAGGATGCAGAATGCAAAGCCCATTTCCTGGTTTGGTCACGCCCTCATTGCTGCAATGTGGTCAGAACAGAGGGGCAATTGTGGGCAAGATGCCACAGAAGCCAGTTGCAGTGCGTGGGGGAATGACCGGGTGGTGTCAGTGACTCATTCCAGGTGCTCGTTTGTGAAATGGAAAGGGAGGGGGTGGTGGCTGGGAAGGGCTGGGAGTTGTTTTCTTTCTTCATGTTTTAAATGTGGCCAAGGCCTGAGGCAGATTTAACAGGTAGAACGGACGAGCCCTGCTGACCAGTTGTTGCGGGCTGCGGGAGAGGAGCCAAGAAAGCATCCGGATGTCTGGCGCTGTCTCCCTTTGCCCACAGTGGGACTCACGCATCATAGAAAGGCCTGACAGGAGAGTTATTCAGCCCCTGCACATCTGGCCTCAGCTCCTGGACATGACTGGAAGGGAACCGTCCTATTGGATGAATAGGCAAGGGGGTGGGTCCTGACTCCACGCTCAAGCATCCTTCAGGGCCCTTCCTATCTGGCCCTCACCTACCTGTCCGGCCTCTCCCCTCATGCCCCCTGGGCAGGTCAGCTTCCCATTCTCTGGTTTCCTCTCCGAGGCCTGCCGCCACCATCCAGGATGCCCTTCACAACACTCTTGCTTGACCAACATCTAGTTGCCCTGCACCTGCCCTCAGACTTGTAGGAAGATCCTTGCTGGAAACAGTAGACACAAGTTCCTGCTTGTTAATAAAATGTTCTGCCTACAAGGCCTCCTGTCCCTGATTTCTAGTTGTGGACCAAGGTTTGTCCCCTAGTTGTGGCAAATCCTGCTTAAATCCCAAACCTGAGGTCCACTTTCTCGTCACTCACCCACCAGCCATAAAGCTTAGCGATTGGGCAATGGAAGGGCCTCTTTGTTGCTATTCCTCACACTCAGTGGTCTAGCTACACCACCACAGAATTCAAAGATCTCTTGCTCCAAAGCAACGATGGCTACATAACCTCCTTTACTCCTTGGGGTGAATGCTACCTCCCTCACTGGCCAATGAAACGAAGGCTGTCAAGGACTCCCCAGGACCATCTGCAGGGGGCGCAGCACCAGCCCAGCTCCCAACCCCAGGGAGTTCAGAGACCCTCCAGGCGATGGCTCTCCTTCCAGAATATACCTGCACATGCTAACAAGCTGGAGGACGTACGGCTAAGTGACCAATGGCTGACCACTCTGGCCTTCCTGCCCTATTTACCGGGAGACCTCACCCTTCACCTGAATCCCAGATTTGGCTGTAACCTTGATGAGGAAAGAACAAATTTTGTAGGAACCCAGGCCAGCCTGGGTACCAGAGCCCTGGGAAGTGGTCACAGACCACGCCCTCTTTCAGCCAACCAATCAATGAGAGGGTTTCTGGGACCCAGCTAACTGATTTAGTACCCTGAATTTCTGCCATCCTGACTTAAGCTTAGCTGCATAAGCAAACCCAAAGGCGCTCCCTACTGCGTCTGGCTGGCACACATGGAAAGCACTCCCGAACTCTGCCTCCCAAATATACTTGCTGCCTAACCATCACCCACACTAGGCTTCTAACACAGTTCCCGTACCCCCATCTGTTCTTGATTTTCTGCACCCTCCTCACTTCCTGGGCCTGCCTTTATCTAAGGATGTGGACTTTGGCTCCCCTCTGACTCACGCCCACAGCAGCAGGACAGACGCAGCCCCTTCCAGGCCCAGCCTGGGCTCCTGGGGAGGAGCCACTCTTGCCGACCTGAGCAGCCAGACCACATCCCACACGAGTCCCAGCCCCGGAGCCTGGGGCCCTGGGGAACAAAGAGACAGACGCTAAGATTCTGTTAGGTTGTAGGAATTTATTTTAAATAACCTACAGTTGATTAAAAGGGAATTCATGATAAAAATAGAAGATACTTGAGGAAAGATGTGGGAAATGGACTCTGCACACACACTAAACTAACATTGCCTCTAAAACTAATGATTATAGCAAAAAATGTTTTCACATTAAAATTCTGCTTTTTATGTTTTTCCCCCCATTTTGTACACAATTACAAAAGAAAAAAATAAAAGCCCTAAAATCTTGATTATTTTTTCTTTTTTGGACCAAATACTCATTTTCGTCTAAATTTATTGACCTGTGGAACTTTTTATACAATAAAATCTTTCAAGTGAAAGACTGGGTTTTAAAATGAAAGAGATGGATATCTGAAAGGGTACAGAGAATGCTCAGAACAAAGGATGATGGGAAAATGGCTTCAGTCACTGATTATTTCATTATTCTTAGACTCACTCACCCCGCATCCCTCCCCAACCCCAATCTACACGATCTTTAAGATCAAGAAAAAGGTTTAAATATTTTAAAATAATTAAAAAGAAATAAAAATTCACATTTAAAAAGGAACACTCAAGTCAGGAAATATTTTCCCATCATGCTTTTCTGTGAATAGGTGTCTGAACCAAAACACTGCCGATGTCACAACTGCTTCAAGTTTAATGAAAACTGGTTCCCATGACAATAGATAGTGACAACTCTAACAGGTGCGCTGGGTTTTTGTTCTACTTAATTTTTAATTCCTGAAATGGGGGAGAGGGAAGGGAGTTTAGGGATTCATTTCTATTAAAATATAGAAGTTATTGCAAAACCCTAACTGTAAAAACGCACCAATATAATCGGACTTCATATACAGTAGCTAAGAGAATCCAAATGCTTCAGTGAAACAGTGAATTTGCCTGGCAGATCTCTGACAAATTCCCATCCACTTGCCCTCTTGAAAATAAAAACAAAATTCAAAACAAATCATACAGCTAGAATTTTGATATCTGAAATATTTTTAAATAAGTTGTCCATAGGACAACTGGCTCAGCTCTCCCTTATAATATCTTCAGGTTTATCTTTTCTCAAAGATGTTGGTTTGTTAAGACTTGCCGCCTCTCTCCCTCAGGTGTGAGGGCAAGCGAGGCTCACAGTTTATCCATCTTCTGCAAACCACACTGTTCCTTTTCACCGAACGCTGCCCCTCCAGGCTGGCTAGAACTCATAGTCCTCGTCAGCCATGTCGATGGCCCAGGCAAACTTCTCTCGCTGGGTTTTGTTGTAAATTTTCTCAATTGGGACCCCCCATTTCTTGCACCTGCAAACAAAAGAGAGAGAAGGGGGATTTAGTGTCTCGGGGAGCAATGGCCCAGACCTAGGGCAGGGGCTTGGATGTGCTGCCTTCTCCTTCACTCCCATCTGGTGAGAATGAGAATTCATTCATGTGCTCAACTCATTTAATCTTGACAGTGACCTCTAAAGTAGGTGCTACTAAGAGGTACAAATGAAAAAGATGAAAAAACGAAGACAGAGCAGTTAAGTAATTAATTTGCTTACGTTCTCATGCAGCTAGTGAGCATGGAGCTGAAACCAACCCAAGCAGTCTGGCTCCAGAGTCCATAGTGCCTTTCAAACTAATCAATCCTCTAGCACCAAACAGCAAAAAGAGTAGACAGGGAACAAGAGTGGGGTGGAAACCTTGGCCCAGAGGAGCAGGTGCCAGAGATGGTTCGGGATGCTTCGTCCACCTAAGCTCAGAACTCAGCAACTCAAGGTAACTAATAAGCATCTTCAAAAAGGCCACTTATTTTGGATATTAATTCATGAATGGGGGGGGACGGGGAGTGAGCAAACAATAGAGAAGTTGTCTGCCTTGGTTAAAAGGTCCCTCTAACTCTTTGTGTGGGTTGCTTAGATTTGTGTTCTCATTTTTGTTTTTTCTCCTTGTTCCTACGTTTCTTCACTTGTAAAAAATTTCATTGGAAAGCTTTGTTAAAGTGAGGGACTCTTATACTTTTCCTTCAATACGGGCTAAGTTTTCACTCTTGTCCTAAAGTTCCAAAGGGATGGGGAATGGGGACTGCACCTGCCTTTTTAAAAACAAACATCAACACACGCGAAGGCAGTGTAATAGCACTGAGAATTCAGGACCACCCAGGATGTTCCAATGCATCTGCAGCATAGCATGCACAGGATTCTGGCAGAGGTTTCCCAAAGACTGAAAGTGTGCGGTGCAGGAACGGCCTGGGAAGGCTGACAGTGTTCTCACAGCCCCTACCACCCTTCTCAAGCCAGCAGCAAAGGGCTCATTGCTTACCAAGCCACTGAAATCCTTGGGTCCAGATAATTGAGTTTGGAGGTTCCCAAAGCAATTTGTTTATTCTCTTCTCGGTCTGTGGCCTGAACTTCGAGCTTCATCAACTGCTCCTCCAGTCTCTGCACAGCCTTCTTCTTTGACTCTACCACCCTGGGACAATGGATATTATCAAGAAGCAGGCCTGGCCTCTGGACAAGAGCACTGCAACCCCACCCTGCCACTTAGGGGGCAGGAAAAGCAGAAAAGCCCTAAGTACAGAGATTTCTAAGAGACATCACTCAGAAAGCCTAAGAAAGCTGGGGCCCCAGGGGCCCTACACATGCTTTTTTCTCTCTACCGACCCCCAGCTTTACACACCACCAGGCACATACTTCTTGGTCTTTGCATCCTTCATGACCTTGGCATCAGCTTTAGCACTTTTCAGGTCTCTCCGGGCATCTGCTAGCTGTTCCTTCTTGGCATCAATCTGGGTGAGGAAAAACATTAATAAGCTTTAGGAATAAAAGCCCAGAGAGAAGAAAAGAAGGGCTACATCAGAGAAGGTGAAGCCTAGACATTGTTCCGCCACGTAGGCCGTCTCTCTAGGCCATTTGCAGGGTAAAAACACCAGGGCTGGCTTCATGAAAGCAGGGTAGATGCACAGTAACAGTTGAATTCAGCTATTTGGCCATTTATGTTCTTCCATGACCCATCAAGAAAGAATGTTCTATAGGCAGTGAACCAAGGCCCCATTAATCCAGATGCTCAGGGAAAACAACCCGCTGGGACTGGGCAAGTGGGTGCTAATCTTTCACAGATCACTCTGGCCTTAGACACCTGGGAAGAGGGCTACAAATGAGAGCTGTCTATCAAATGGAAACTGAGCCAGGCTGTAACCTTCATTCCAAGAATACTGCAAAAGACACTCTTTATGAAGCTAGCTGAGACAGGATCCTTGCATCTACTGAGCCCAGCTCACTCCTCGGAGTCTGCCAGCACTCTGGGAAGAGGGTGACAGCTTAAGAGAAAAGGATGCACAGAAGAAAATATCCAAGGGACTAAAAAATAGCAATTAGAAAGTCAGTCTGTTCCAAGCCAACACATGGCATGGCCTGGCTTTGGCGTTGTTCTCAAAAGGAGAGGGAGCTGAGATGGGAAGAAAATTAAAGTAGTTATCCTCAAAAATAGAGGTTTGGAAACATTTTTAGCTGTGAAGCTCTTTTTCCAAATAAATCTCATGGAGTTCCAGTCTATAAAGAAAGAGACAAGGGCAGTTCCAGCCTTTCTTGCTTGCTAGAACCTAAGTCCTTCTTAGTGCCTGCTTACGGACAGCAGCAGGCACCACCAGGGAACTAGGGTCCAAACCAGTGAGCTCACGCTGCTGGAGGGCAGGAGCAGCCGGGCCGGCTAGCACCTTGCTAAGTGGTGAGGTCATGGGGACCTCTGCAGAGTAAATACATGCCTGACTCACAAGTACCGGGCTGTTGCTTGGAGCCTAGAATTGTCTGTTAGACACATGCACAGCCCAAGATTGGAAACAGAGGCTGCCATTGTGAGACAATCATTAAATGCTTTTACTACGAATGGCTTACTTCCAACATCTATGTTGTCCAAAGGCAAGCTGAAGGAACCGATTCTATACACAAAAGCATCACAGACACCACTAGCCAGATTCTTCTTAGGCTAGAAATACAACAAACCACAATCTTTTAACCATTTCTGCGAATGCTAAATTGGCAGGCTATGTCAAATTCTCTCAAAGCATCAAAGGCTCCATTGATTCACTTGGCAAACACGGGCGTGTGTTTGCTTTGTGGGCACACAGGAGAGGGTTCCTGGGCTTGGAGGGCTCGGCTGGCAGGCAGGCTGGGCTGCTCCAACAGTGGTTCCAGAGTGAGGTCGACAAAAGACCTCCTCATGCTCCAGGGAGGGGTCTCCTGAATTAGGCAACCACCACCTGAATATTCACACTTTTATTTCTGGCTTAGAACAACATGAGAGGAGTGCACCACAACAGGTGGCCGCCATTTAACAGAGTGGCGGCAATGGGACCTGCCAGGAGGGGCGGTCTGTAGGGCTCTCTGCCGCCAACCACATGGCCCAAGGATTTGAGAGCTCTGTGGGCATCTCTGCATTTACTGTGGACGTGTGCATCCCTTCAGGAAAGCCAGCTGGCATCTGGAGCAGGAATTATAGGGTATGTGTGTTTTTTTACCCAGATGTTCTACTCCTGGGTATTTATGTTGAAGAAACTTTAACAGAACAAAATTTCAACACAGGCCCGAGCTTGTGCATGTAGCCTCACTTTACACAGTTTTTAAACTTCAGGTGTCCAAGTACAGAATTCCGTGAGTGTGGGTGGGAAAGATTCGCATTTGTACTTTCATTACCCTCTAGTTGAAATTTATCATTTCTCCTTCAGTTATGAATGTGGGCAACAAGCCACAGTAGTGTCAGAAGTACCTATGATTTTATCACCAACAGATAGTACGGATGTTTCCATGTCATATTATAACTGTTGCAGAAATCTTGAAGTATCATTTATATTTATTACTACCTTGCAATTTACAGAGGTTATTAGACCCACCTTCAGATCTTACGGTAAGTTAATAAGGAAGAACATTTATTACTATATCATACTTTAAAATACATTTGGTAAGTGTATTTGAAGATAACTGCTTTCCGTTTTAACGCTGTGTGTCTGTTCTGTAATGAAGTACCTGCAAATTCTCAATGTGGGTTAGTACATTAAAGGGGACTGGTTCCGTAGCCATTGCTCCCATAAAAACGACCATCACCAAATGTTTAAGTGCCTCGTGGCTTAAAAGCTCAGTGCCAGGCAGAGTCAGAGGGAGGAGAGGCACAGGGAAGAGCAACAGCATCGACTTGTTTGCACGTCGGTCTCTCCCTCTAGGGCAGCAACTCCAGCACACAGTCAGTATTCAACAGATGTTTGATGATGAGCTTTATAAAAATATGATTCATGTGGAATGTGTAAAAGTGAAAATAGTTGTGCTAGGATTTGGGGGAATTAAATATCATTATTTCCTCATCTTTTCAATTTGAAACAATCTAATTTGGAAATAGCTGTATTTGTGGGCTGTGGCAAGCAACTGTGAAGATTCTCTTTATATCCACTTTCCTAATGTATAATGAAGACAACAACTAGCAATGTTTCAAGGAGGGTACATCAAATCAGCTTTTCGAAATGGGAAGTGGCCAATGTAGAACTTCAGTCCACAGAATGAAAACCTCCTGAACATTTAGATTTAGTGCCTGATATTTAGTATCTTGATCAGGGAGAACCACTGTCATAGTTCCATTTGTTTATCTTTAGCATAGACCTTTCTTTCAGAACAGACCCGGAACTGGCCTTCTGATATCCAGCTCAGAAGGCTGGGTTATAAATTCTTCTCGTTTTCAGAGTATCTGCCCACAGCATACATGGTTCCCTTCACTGCGCTACCCCCACCACCCAAATCCAAGATACCTTAGATTGCAAATTCATCATGGACTTCTCAAAAGTTTTTGGTGGTGCCCTCTGATGGTTACAAAGAATTGCAACAGCTCGGTTGGCACGGTTATAAGATAGGATCTTTGCTGGGATGTTCTCATCCGCTGTAAAGAAAGAAACATGACAGTTAAGAGTCTGTTTGTGTAATGAGAGAATACACAATGTGCCTACCCCAGTATCCTCATTATTTTACTGGCCCTCATCTCACTCAGATGATCAATTCGAGTTTCCCCAAGCCACAAGTTCAAAATCTGAGTCAACAGTACCCACTTCCCCCATCTACCCACACAACGAAAACTAAAGAAAATAGAGAATTGGGACAGAAAAAGAGGGTATCACAAAGGGGCTATAAGTTTCACAATTTAAAACCTCAAGACAGTGTATTTTTTGTTTTTAAAAAGTGTTAACCAAGGAATATTTTTACTTGTGTCTTTTTTTTTTTTTTTAAAGTTTAAAACATCTATTCCTCTAGTTAAACGTCTACACACAAAATACATAGTTTAAGATTTCTGTGTGGAAAGGATTTAGGTCTCAAGAGGTTTCACGAGGTTGCTACATGTTTTCTGGAAATCATTTAACGGAACCTTTTAAGACCCCTGGATGGCTGCGGCTAGACGGAAAGGCACTTGTATCACTTGATCCCATCCTAAAACACTGACGCTCAACATACCCACCATATTCTAAAGCCATTTGACCTATTTATAGAGAACAGTGGGAATTTAGCACTGACTTGACTCCAGGAAAAAAACCTTTTGGATCTTGGTGATACCTTCGTAGCTAGTTTTTAGGAGAACACTAACTACTCTTAAAGGGAGAAAAAAAAAGACAGAAACCTCAAAGAAAGGATTTGCTCCTGTATTTTTTAGTAACCATGACAACCTTACTCTCTCTGATTTAACAGAACATCACAGCACTATGTCTTTACTCTGTGAGCTTTTAAATAACATACATATAAAACACGAAATGAAGGCATTTTCAGAACAGAGAGAAAGCCTCTGTCAGTGTTCCAAATCGAATCTAGAAGCTGGGGTAAGAATGGGGGAAACAGCTCTGATCTTACGTCTATACAAACTAAACCTTAGCTCTCTATCAGGGGGTAAGGAGGGAAAAAATTTCCAATCAGTGTTAAGGAGAGACAGTGGAACAGATCTAGGACTCAGCTGAGCAAGGACACCGGACAGCATCTGTAGGCTGTGGCCCTGGCTGGCCGAGCAGTACTTACGGGCTGTGAGTTCTTTTAGCTGCTGTTGTAGCGTGATGGAGGCATTGTATGTACGGAACACCTTGGCTGTCAAACCCTCCATGAGATCCTGAAGATGCTTATTTAAAATAGCAGTCTGGATGAGACAAAGCAACAAAGAGCATTTAGGTAAAAGCCACACCACCCTGCCCCTTCTGGCAAGCACTAGGACATGAATGCCAGTGTGATCACAACCCTGACAAGTTTACTGCTCTGCCAGAGGGAAGTTAGGAAACCAGGGAAGAGAATTCCAGGATATAGGGTTGCATGACACCTCCTTAAGAAGTACAGTAAAACCTTGGATTGCGAGTGACTTGGTTTGTGAGTGTTCTGCAGGACAAGCAAACATTTCTAATTCATATTAACATGGTAAACGAGTGATTTCTTGCAATACGAGTAGTTTGTTTCCAGAACAAATTATGCTTGCAAACTAAGGTATTACTGTACTTCAATTTTAAGCAGGCCAATAAAGCAAATTTGTCTTTCCCTGTTAAAATCTTCCCTGAGCTAACAAGGACAGGTCTCGGGTGCCTGGTAGAGGTGGCTGGCATCCAGCCAGGGCAGGGCTCTGCAGGAGGCTAAGTGGCAAGGTCTGTCTACCTCGACTCAGGGCTTTGGCCACAGATTCACTGTGTGCCCCGAGGGAGGAAGAGTGTACAGGACGCCACAGGCCAGGCTGAAGGGAGAGCCCAAGTCACCCTCAGGCAAACCTCTCCTTTGGGAGCTTGTGAGGCTCTGGCTCAGCCCTCTTCAACCCAGTGCACTTTGTCCACTCACATTGAGTCTGTCAAAAAGATCATCCTCAGGCTGTTTGTTCTCCATAAATAGTTGTAAGTTCTTAAAAACCTAAAAGAAATAAGCACAGCCTAATTATTACTATTTTTAAAACCTTGACTGTGGAAATACTTGCAAGTTTAAAAAATCCGCGCATGCGCTCGCGTGCGCGCACACACACACACACACACACACACACACACACACACACACAGAAAACACAAAGCACAAGAGACACCTGTATCCTTTACCAGATTCCTCTACTATTAACATTTACCTCATTTACCATTTGTGCAGCGTGCATGTCTGTTCACTCCTTCTATTATATGTATATATATATATATATATATATGTGTGTGCATACGTATTAAATGTTTGCTCTGAACAATTTGTGGGTGCTTACATAAGATAGATAGTCCCTTACATACACATGGTTCTTACCGGCTTCATAAATTTATATCAATACCTACTTTTATCTAATCTACTGTCCATATTCCAATTTTGTCAGTTGACCTAATGATGTTTTTTTACTTCCCCAGTGTGGAATCCAACCTGAAGTATTTCATTTAATTGTCAGGTCTCTTTAGCTTTGTTTAATCTGGAGCATTTCCACAGCCAGAAAAACCTGTACTGACTCAACATCAGACTGCTGAAGGGTTGGGTTACTGGGGACCCCTTGGCTTAAGCCCAATACTTTGGGGTGGGGGGAACCTTGGGGCTGCAGCACTCTGTAACTACAGGCTCAGAGAGCTAAGGACCAAACAGCTACCTTTCCGCTCAATCAGCTGAGGTTGAGCAAAGCTACAAAGTAACAAATTACATGACTGGGATAACATGGTTAAATCATTACAATAAGGTGGTGGGTTGAATCTTATGTTGAGTTTGTTGTGAGGGCCAACCTCTCTCAGCATACTGTGTTGAATACTGCTATGGGACATGGCCCACCATTTCAGGAAGGGAGCACAAGGGCCGGGGGGTGGGGGGGGGGCATGGACTAAAAGGAGGTACACAGGACACCAAACAATACCTCTCCCCTTTCTTTCAAGTTATTTTTTTCTAGTGACCAACAAAGCATCAAACACATAAAAAGCACTCAACAAATGGTTGTTGAATGAAATCAATCAATCAATCAATCAATCAATCAATAACAGACCCCATTAACTTACTCGTTTCTCAACAGGGACTTTGTTATAATATCTGATCGAGTCTTTCCCAAGGAAGTCAAACTCCACCACATACTCCTGGCCGTCCAGCTCTGGGTACAGATTGATGTGCTCCACACGAAGCGAGCAGCAGCCCACGGTGTCCGCTGTTTCTCCTTCCTCCTTCTCGTTGCCTGCTCTCAGAGCAAGCTGTCCGGGGAGGGCAGAAAGAGAGAGAAAAGGATGAGCATGAAGAAGCTTGACCCTCACAGATCTCTGGGCAACGCAGTTCTCTTTGGGGACAGGGCATTAGTCTGCAAGGCCTGGGAATTCCGGACTCTGCATTATTGCCTTTCCTATTAAATGAAGTGTGGAGAGTCCAGGGGGTACTAGACTACAAATCCAAGCTTTTCTACTCTGTCCTCTCACACGGGGATGGAGGAGAGGAAGGACATTTTAAAACACAAAGCAGCAACTGAAGGGGTATTTCTAGTCTGGGCAATCAGACTCAAAAAGCTCGTTTCTTAATTTTGTTGAATTTTTGAGACAATTCAGAATTTGTGCTAAAATACGAGCAATGCAATATTGGTGGGGAAAAAAAACCCCCAAAACCCGAAATCTTGTTCTTCTAAAGCAGCGGTTCTCAACCTGTGGGTCGCGACCCCTTTGGGGGTCGAACAACCCTTTCACAGGGGTTGCCTAAGACCATCGGAAAACAAAAAGATACTTACATTACGATTCAGAACAGTAGCAAAATTACAGTTATAGAGTAGCCACGAAAATAATTTTATGGTTGGGGGTCACCACAACATGAGGAACTGTATTAAGGGGTCGCGGCATGAGGAAGGTTGAGAACCGGCTGTTCTAAAGAGTACTGAGAAACTCATCTCCAGAACACTGTCTTTCAAACTGTAGTTGCGATACTTCAGCAGATCACTTAACCGATTTATTTAAGGGGTACAACCACCTTTTTAGAAATAAGAATGTCATAGTATTTCCGGCGCATTCAGATTCATGCAAATCCTATCAGGTAGACTGTATTCAGACAGCAGCAGACATCAAATGCCTCTCTCTCCACTTCTATCTTCCTTACTGGGACAGAGACTGGGTGAGCAGGACCATGCGTGTCGAGCAGTCACCGCCTCTCCAGTCCTTAGTGTGGGGTCCCGGGGGAGTAAATGCCTACATCTCTGTTAAGCTGTACACATTAGGCGATGAGACAGGAGGTCACTCACCTTGTCGATGAAGTATAGGGCTACAGCTCTCTGCCGGACTTTCATCTCTTTAGACTTCCAGTCTTCTCGATACTGGTTCCGGATCTTGTCCACACACTTCTTCAGCCTCCGAGCAGTCTCGTATTTCTGCCAGTCTTTCTCACCCTGCAAAGACCCAACCCCAAAGGTGGACTGCTTAGGGATGGTGGGGTAAAGTCAGACTTTGAATATCCAAGTTTAGAGCTCAGAACCAAAGAGAAGGAACTTGAGCTTAAGGAAGATAGAGTACTGAAGAGAAATTTTAGGGCATTTAATTTGATGAGAACTCATGCTGTCCCGTTTCCACTGCCATTCTGTAAAATGTTTATGTTTCATTCTGTAAAATGTTTATGTTCTTGGGAAAAGCCCACATGGCATGTCCCAAAAACTGACTCTGTCAACACAAAGGGTATAAACATCCCCATCACAGCTTTACTGCTGAATCTGTGACCCAACAGCAGTTTTCTGCTAGGACTGAATTTCATTAAATTCAAGACAACCATTTACAGACTGACGGAAGGAACTGTCAAGAAAGCAGAACCAGGGCCGGCCGAGTGGCGCGATGGTTAAGAACTCGCTTGGGATGCCAGAGGGCCCCGGTTCGGATCCCACATGTGAGGGCCAGTGACACTGCCC